TTAAAATAACCAAAGAGTAAAAAAGCAGTCAAAATTAGCTAAATAAAGCTAAAAGTAGCAGAAACAAGATCAAAATAGCAGATGGAGAAATTYATGTGACAAAATTTAAATTAGCGGAGAACATGTACAAAATACTTGCAATTTAAAAAAAGGTTAAAACAGCTAAAGTAACCCTAAAACTACTTTAAAAGTAGCTGAAATTGCTGCAGTTAGCACAACAAAACAAAGAGCATATGTTTGCTGAATTAAGCAGTAAAAGAATGTGAAATTATCACGTGAATTTAGCTATAAAATCTAATTTCCTGAATTTTGCTAAAAGAAAGTGTAAAACAAAGAAAAAAAAGTTGAAATAAGGAAACAGTTGAAAGAAGCACAAAAARGTTTAAATTAGCAGAATAGGTTAAAATGAATATAAATGCAGAAAACAGCCCAAATCAAATAGAAGCGGATTGAATCAAAGCAGAATCAGAACAAAAGGTGAAAATTTCAGTCAAGATTTATGAACATTTTAATGAGTTTTAAGGATGCTGAAAATAACMCCATTCCTCCTCAATGAGGAAAAAAGTCAGGAAAAACTAAATATCTCAAAAAAGTATAAATTGCTTAAGTACCAAAGGTTACAGCCAGAATGTCCTGAAGGAGCTGAACATTTAGATTTACAGCTGAAATAGCGCAAAATTTGCAGAACATGACACGTGTCAAAAATCACATGCAACTAAATAAAGATCTCAATTAAACAAATCATTGCAAATTAAATCTTTTAGCACTTTTTAGCCAAAAAGATAAAGCTAAAAGTGAACATATGAAAGAAATTAAGGTGTGTAATCATGTAATCATAAGCTGTCTTCTTTTACAAAGAGGTCATAATGTAAATTATTAAAATGAGGATTTTCTTTTTTTGTTTAGTTTTATTTGAATGAAGAGGAGCTCAGACATGTACATGGTGCTCAGGGGTTTAATCATAATATCTCATTATGAAGTCAGAAGCTCAGAGGTGACCTGAGTAAAGACCTGATCATACTGGAGGGCCCAAATATTTAATTTAGCCTGCAAATCCCCAGAGAAGTTTCAGGTACTCATCCTGGTAATTAGATTAACTGTAAGACATTATTGCATATCTGCATTAAATACTACTTTGTGACTGAAGATTCAAAGGATTTTTTTAGAGGAAGCAGAAGCTTTAACCCAACAAGAAAAGACTGATTTGTAAGGTATAATTKAGGGATGTTGACATATCATCAGCTGCTGCAGTGACCAGATTGTGCAATGCTACAGAATATCAGCAGTTATTTAAAGAGTGTTGGTGCTCATCTTCATCACTTGTCACATTTTGCTCACAGTCATTGGTTGAGAAACTTTGTTTACAAAACAAATGGCCACATAGTTATTAAAGGGTGTTCATTTCCTGGCTTTCCAAGACGCATCGAGTTGATTTGATGTTGCAGTTTGGTGACATGAGTCTTGTAGCATAATGTTATACTCATTATGCTACATTTGTGTTGAAAGTTTTCATGTTTATATTTTTAGGATACAAAAAGCAGAATGTAGATCCTTGCCTAAGATTTTTTTAAATATCTTGAACATTAAGAAAATTCTCAGCAAAAATGGATAAAAACAAGGCAAAATGGCCACAAAGGCCCGACTGGCTCAGCTATGAATTTATGCAGAAATTATGAGTTTGATCACACCTAAAACATCCATAACTTCCTTCATYGTGGAGACAACCACATGGTTTTTGGTATTTTGTATGGTTTTAATGTTCTTTTTGAATCCTGTCAGAGTTGATGTTGGTGTAAGATATACATTTCTAAATACTTGCATGGAAACAAAAAACTTGGCACACTTAATTAGAACTTGTGCAAAAAACAAAGTATAATTTGATATAAACTGAAATATTTGAGCCATAAACCTTAAACTGACCTTAAACTGTCCAAACAATCCAATATTTTCCAAATGAGAAGTCCGCACAAGTAAAATGTAAGCCATTTAAAACATTTCGAAGTACTTGCTTGCTTTCTTGTGAAGTTTTGATGAGAAAACTGACACCATGCAGTCGCAGAGTKAACATGGAGCTCGAGCAGCACCCATATCAGGTGAAAGCCAAACAGAAAAGCTACTTTGTCACTGTTCCAGAGTAAAAGACAAACTAAACACTTGAATATCATCAAACAAGTGTCCAGATACATGGAAGTTAAAGTGAAGAAGGAGGTTTAATCTGGTTTTTCTGAGCAACAAGCTGCTGAGTTTCCTACCTGAACAGGTGTTTCTCATTAAAAGGCACAAAGAAGGAACTGCTGCTCCTGGTCTAACAAGAACCTCCTGCAGAATAAACACACTAATCTGGGTGTCTGCTGTGGACTTTTACATGTGATCATAAAAACATGTTGGAAACCATCCAAAATTATAGTTGGAAGAATGCAAAACATGTTTCACATGTTAATCTGATGTTTTCACAGGTGATTAATATGATTTGTAGGTCTAATTTTACAAAGGTAGCATCTACAAAAGGCTTCACATTCATGTGCAGAAATTTCCACATTTGAAAGTAATGCAGGTAATTTTGGAACCTACTGGGCAAAACCTGGCAAGTAATTTTTTCATTGCCATTTAAAATAAGCTAACCAGTTAGCTTRAGTCTAAACCAAGAGCCAGCAGCTACCTGTAAGTTGTAAGAAGGTGTTTCCAATGAAACTCTTAAATATTTTCTTTATAACTTTGTTTTCCACCAACTGAATACTTTACACATGATTCATATACTTTCAAGACAAATCATGTATTTTTATAACTTCCGTTAAAAAGGTTTTCCGCAACTTGGTGATGCATGGCAGTTTATATTTGTGCCTGGGGCATGCATATTCATTAAATGCAAAGTAAAAAAAGTTTTAACAAACTTGGCATAAAACACATTTTACACATTTTGTCACATGACAGGTAAATTTTCCCAAAGATATATAAAAAGGCTAGATGGGTTGTACCCGCTGATGGTCAATGGAGACGGACATCCTCACACGGTGGCCATCTTGGGTCGGGGAGCTTGCCCACTCAACACGAAACCATAACTTGGTCAATTTTGATTGGATTTTAAAACAGATTTTTTTTTATTGTAAAGGTGAGACATGTTATAAAATGGCCTACTTATAATGAACATTAAAGTGTTCATTTCTATCTAAACTACACTTGATTGTCTGTTTCCCCCGTACTTTCAAACTACAGCCAGTTGAAGCAGGTGGCAGCTTTTCCTGAATCCAGTTCTGCTTTGTGTCTTTTTCCTTTAAAAAACGAGTCATTTCCTCCCAACATTACCATCATGCAGCTCAGATTTCAAACAGCTTTTATTAAATATCACTTCATAGTTCTGCATGTTAAACTGCATCATGCTTTCTGAGTAGAGAATCAGATGACCTAAACTTTTCTTTACATTTTTAAAAGTTCTCTGAATTGGTAAATGAACTTACCTAGTGCTACATGTGATTGGGGCAGGTTTTATTGCTGATMAATTGATTTTTAAAAACACATCAAAAACAGTCTTTTTGGCTCATAATTTTATTAAAAGAAAGCATTTAGACATTCATGGCAAGTAAAATGAATCTTTTGTAGCGTCTGAATGATTAAAGTTGACCTAAAAAAAAAACATTAACCTGAATGCATGAGAGTGTTTGATCAATTTTATTTTTCATCTTGCAGGGGTTTCTTCACATCTGCTGGAGACTCCAYCTCCTAGAATAATAAAAATTATTTAAAGCACATATTTTGCCAACAGGGTTAATTTCAACAAGCCACCAAATTTACTTTAAAAGAGAGATTAAAGTATTACTTTTGAAAAATTTCAGCTTCAAGTTATTTTTACCTCTGTGTCTGATTCTTGTTCAGGCAGAACCATGTGATCCATTAGAGTCTCTTTATCTGTAGACCTGGTGAAATACTCCCATCCTTTCCTGTTCAAACAAAGCAACCAACATTTATCTTCATATTTAACAACAAAAAGAGCAGGCTCCACTGCTGTAACACTAGAATTAACAGGTTATTTTCAGAATAAAGCCAAAGAGAAAACAGTCGGTACCTCCTAGAGAAAACAAGAACAGCCAACATCAGTGCAGCGATGAGACAGAAAGCCACTATGARGACAGCAGGGTGGCTCTTTCTGCTCTGCTCCTGGCAGAACTCTCCTTTGTAACCAGGCAGACACTGACAACCAGTGGCTTTGCCTTCAGCGATGCAGCTGCCGTGGCCGTTGCAGCGTTCGAGACCACAGGAAGCAGAGTTGTCATCAAAAGGAATAGAGTTCTGAGTCTCTGGATGGAAGGATGAAGACTGCAGGGAGTGGTCATTGCTTAGTTTGGTTGAGGTTGAAGCAAAGTTTGGACCTGAAAGAAAAGTTAGGAGATTGCCAGTTTTTTAAAAAAGGAAAAAGTTAAACTTTTGCCCCACATTTTTATGTCAATCCTTYAAAAATGTAAATGTATTACCCATAATAGTGTTAGTACACCAAATACTGTTTCTAATAGATTATGTGATTAAATGATATGCATCCAAGTTTAGCCAATGTGGCTGAAAACTCACAGTCCTGCTCATCTGACTTGTCTGGACAGTCCACACGGCCGTCACAGAACTTGTTGCTGCTGACGCACTCGCTGCCATCAAAGCAGGACTCTTCACCAGTTGGGCAGGCGGGAAGCGGATTACAYGAAGTGCCATTGTTGATGTAAAAGCCCCTCCCACATTTACAGGTATGACCTCCAGGAAAGGGCAGGCACAGGTGGGCACATCTGCCATTCTTATTTGAGCAGCTGTTGTGTCCTGGGGAAGGAAAAAAATGCAGATTTGTCTTTTGGGTAAAACAAACTTCTCAGGACACTAGCATTGACTGGAGAGGAGGTGATAAAATTCAATCATTTATGCCAGAASTGTTACAGATTTGAAGTATTAACACTTGTTAAAAGTACTTCATGTATTTTTTATTTAATTAAAAATTCTATTTGTTTAAATATTCTTGATAGGATTAATCAGTGATTATGCAGAGATKAGATTGTCATAATTTTTCAGAATTTCACTTCCATATAAGTAATTCTTATATAAAAAGCCTTAATGCAGTTTTTATTAAGCCAAAGCATCACAGTGCAGTCCACTCATCTTACCCATAATTGTCCATACAATGGTATAAACACAATGGGTACTTTAGAAACAAATTCCTCTACATGTGATTGTGCAACAGTGTGTGTGTTTGGTTGGTGTTGCAGCTCCATCRGTCAGTCCCCTCTCCCACTGCAGAACAAAGTGGGATCTCAGCCTGCTGATCCCCTGCAGGTATCACACCATGCTGCGTGTATTCACCTCCAACTGAGCCTAAATAAATCTTTTCATTCTGGCAGCAGTGTCCAGTAARACACTTCAGTCTCCTCCCCTGAGAAAAGCTTGTGATGCAGACGGTGCGATTCTTGTGTTGTGACTAACAGACTGGTCRAGCTTGTTTCTGCTATACAAATTAAGCAGGTAGTGTGAAGCAAACCAGTTTGTCAGCATTACAAACCTGGGCAGGAGTTGATGCATTATAAAATGATCTGAGTGAGGACAAGAGGCAGCTTTAGCAGCCAGAGTAAAACAAACTCTGACCGCACATTATGTCTGAATGTTGGATAAAATTATACAACASAGCTACATAAAAACTGCATTTGTTTTGTTGCAATTACATAATCACATCTAAAACATTTTAAAAAATTGAACTGTATGCATGAAACTTTGAGCATGATTTTTACCAATAAAAACTGCAATAATTACTCCTAAATCAAGTTTTAATAATGTATTGTTACCAATTATATTAGACCAAATTATTTTACTGACATTTTAAAACTCATTAACAGCTTGAAATAAGAGTTGTAGTATTGTCTGCACTCAAGGACAAACTATTAAAATCACACAAGACAATTTACTTGTTTTATTAAGCTTGTTTAATAATGCTCAAATTTGGGTTTTGTGGGGTTTTTTTTTTTTTTACACATATTTGATAATTCATTAAGTTTCAAATTCAAATCCTGTTCTGGAGTTTGTCGTCTTAGATATTTTGATCTTTAGACTTTTCACTTCTATTGTTGATTTAATTTACCTTTTTTATTTTATGCTGAAATGTGAGATTTTTTAATATATATGTGTCAAAAAATTTACACAAGTTCTACAGTTTCTCCGTTTTCTCCCCCGTTGGTGAGAAGCTGAGCAGAAATTAAACAGCAGGAAGTACCTACCTGACTGGCTGTCGTTGTTGTAGGATCTTATTTCCACCACACTGGTTTTTGTTTGAAACCACAACTGTTTTGGCTGAAGTCCATCACTGAACCACAGCTTGTTTACATCTACACATGTAAAATAGAAATAAAATAAAAATTTCTAAATGACATTTCAAAAGATTGCATTTTCTTTGCAGTAATTCTTAAGACAAAGGAACATTCTGCCTCTGCTGCCATCTGCTGACTGAAGGTTAGAAACACAAGGACAGGTAGAAAACCTGGAAATACTGGGAGCTATTTCAGTCATTGTATTGAGCCAATCACTTTAGCTTTAATCTGAGAACCAAGTCTGATTTGACATTCAAGTGTTCAGACTACTTGTATAGTTTCAGGTGATTTGACTCAATCAGCTCTGAGTGCTGTCATATTTGGTTCTCACCTCTCTCCAAAGTGACCCAGAAGAAGARGTTCTCAATGAGTGTGAAGGACAGGAGTAGATTGGGACCAATTTTATACTCTTCATAGCCTGAACCATCCACTCCAATAGAGCCTATTATTCCTTCACCTGAGGAGAGATTACTCTTTACATTGATGCAAGCAAATGTATTAAAAAATAAATTGTAAATGCTCACCAGCATCAGCCCAGTAGATCCTGGTTCCATTATTGGAGAAGACCAGAGAGACAGGAATGCTCGACTTCCTCCACAACACTACTTTATTTCGTCCATCCATCCAGGCACAATCGACCTCCGTCTGATCCTTTARACCTGTGATCACTACTGCGGTGTAGCAAAGTCGACCTGAGGAAGGATGCAGGGCTATGGACGAAATGCCCTGGGGGGAAAACAAAGCCCCTAATATTAGMATTAAAGTTTTGGTAAAGATCCAGCAGTGGGTATTTAGCTTTGACAAAACAATAACTGCATGTTTGTCATTTCAAAAAACTCATCTTAATTTACCACCAGGTTATCATTTAAGAGCTTTACCACCATAGATCCCTGCAGCAGTGAGGTAGTGTAGCCTTCAMAGCGTGATGTCACATGGATGTCAGGTCTTGCTTTACTGCTCCAGTACAGGTTGGAGGTTACCCAATCAACTGCTAAAGCTGAGACTGAATCCTCCTCCTGGGATAAAAGGATGGGGGGAAAATGTTTCATCACAAAGCAGCAGTTTTCCAGCTACCTGACATGTCAGAGTACACTGGCATCATTGTGTCCTTTCAGATTAAAGAACTGAACGTTTGAATAATCCATACCTGCAGCTTCACAACTTGTCCTGAAAGTACCAGTTTTGGACTTGACCTGGAGTTGCTGAGGCTCAGCACATCCACAGATCCAGGTTTTGCATTAGCCACATACAGAAGTAGTTGTGAAAATGAAAAGTCTAAACCTAAAGCTTCTTCGATTCCAGGAAGGGCAAAGTCTCGGCCGTTAGGTATTTTTTTCAGCGCAATTCCATCACGACTCATTGAGCGCAAGTACACCTAAACAGAAGGAAAAAAAAAAAAAAAAACAAAAGGGAGAAAATGAAAGAAAATGGCCATGTTTGTCGATGGCTCACCTGGTAGATTGTGGCACGAGACAGAAGCAAGATGAAAGARGACTCTTCAGGCAGAGAGCAGGTGATCTTATCCTGAGAAAGGAGCAGACCCTTTGGGCATCGACAAACCGCGGCATCTCCTGGAGCCAGCAGGCAGAGATGGGAGCAGCGCCTCAGCTCACAGGGGTTCGATGCCGCCGGCTGGGAGAGGGCGTGCATCACCTGAGAGACAGGAAACCTGGGGTTTAGAGCAACATCTCAAAATTTGACTTTTAAAAAAGGGTAAAATCTCACTTTCAGTCCAAATGGTTGCCCGGGTTTCTTCAGAAGAACTTTCTGATCTTTGCCAGTTCTCTTGTCGGCCGAGCGGACGGTTCTTCTCTTCGTGTCGGACCAGAAAACACGATCACTAAAAACTGCCACTGAAAACGGGCTTGGCGTCTCAGCCAACTGGAGGATCTGTTGAAATGGAACCACTGCCAGTTTACTGTGGGCTACTCCAGAGATCAGTAATAAAATGTCAAATGTTAAAAGATATTTGGACAAATATGCAGTGTAAACTAAAACCTTTATAACACTTGTTTTGCAACTTGCTGCTCAGGGTRGTTTACCTTGATGTTGTCTCCATCCAGAGAGGCAGAGCCAATGCAGRGCAGCTTCTCATCAACCCAGTACACCTTATCATCCATGAAGTCGTAGGCCAGACTGACGGGCCAGCTCAGGTCCCTGCTAACCACCACCTTCCTCTGTGAACCATCCATCCCTGATCGCTCGATCTGTGGGATGCTGCCGATCTCAGACCACAGCATCAACCTGAGAACAGCAATTACTTAGAGCTAAAAAAATCAATTATTAAAAAAAACACAAGAAAATCATCTTACCCTTTATCTGGCAGCAGGATGAGTGAGCTTGGCTGCTCCAGGTTTTCACCAAGAACCACAGTGAAGTCCTGAGATCTCATCGTGGTGTTGCTCAGCTTCACTGCCAGAATCTGACCAACCAGTCCTTCCACCCAGTACAGATTCTTACCAACCCAGTCCACTGCAATGGAATCAGACTTCACACCTGCAAAAACATTAAATTCCATAAAAACAAATCAACATCCAGCTTCAAATTATAAGGTCACTTTTAACTGATCAGATCTGTTTCAGTTGGCACTTAAAGCTCGGTCACTGATTCCAAATTGTGAAATTATTAAAAAAAGTTCAGTTTCAACCTCACCTTTAATCAGCGTCCCTTTGTTGGAGGTTTTCATGTCAGCCCAGCGGACGCTCTGGTAGTCCGGGCTCAGCCAGTAAACTCTCTGCTGAACCAGGTCATAATCCAGAGAGAAGACGGGCTGATTGGCAGAGGAGAGAAGCTGCAGGCTTCCACTGTGGAGCCCCAGGATCAGGAGCTCAGACTGGACTGATGCCAGAAGCAAAGGCTCATCTGGGAATAAAAACACCAGTTATATCAGCTTACAAATTATGTTATTTAGCAACAAAAAAAAAAAAAAAAAAAAAAAAGGCATAGCTCAGCTGTCTGCAGGAAAAGTTTCACTCAGTTAAAAAAAAAATAAAATCTTAGAAAAGCCAGTCAAAATGTCTTAAAAATACAAGTAGGGATAACTGCTTAAAAATATGAATTGATTGACAAAATTAAATGAATTTCATTGTTAATGTATAAAAAGGACAAAAATGCTTATGTTCAATGAAAAGCTACAATTAGTTTAAATTTAAAATCATGAACTTCATTGATAAATTGAAGTAGGGCTTGAGTAAAATTGATGCATCCCTGATAAAATACGCTAAAAATATTACATTCAATATTATTGTACAATTAAGACAGTTTGTCCCATCAAACACCTTTTGATTTGCAGCTTTTGTTATCAGGCTCGAGGAAGAAGCCAGGGTGGCACCGACAGTTGAAGGACCCAACTGTGTTCTGACAGATCTGTTTGCACGAAGCTCCTGGTGTTGAACTGCACTCATCAACATCCACACAAGACTTTGAGCTGGACTGTAGCTTGAAACCTGCACCACAGAAGCACCTCTGAGGAGGGGGAAAGAGAAAATTAAGTCACCTTCAGTTTTATATTACTTAAAAAATAAATAAAAATTGTTCCGTGCAAACTTAGTAGATTAAGCTGTGTTTAAGACAAATAAATCCAAAGTGTTTTAAACAGAAAACCAGATTAATTTCACACTTACGGGTCCATTTGGGGTGCTGATGCAGCTGTGGTCACAAAGTGGAGCTGAAGCACTGGAGCAGTTACGTTGAGAACATCCCACTCCTTCATCTGAGCCATCAGCACAGTTTGTGAATCCGTTACACACCAGCTTAGGCTCCAAACACTCTTTGCTGCCACACTGGTAAAGGTGGAAGGGGCATTTTCTCAAGCTACCTGTGAATGCATGCACATATTCATTTCGGTTTAGGTCAATACAATTAGACAAAAGCAATTTCTACACTGACACTATAAAGGCTGTGTTTAACAGGAATAATTCACGCCAGGTGCTGAGCAGCTGTGAAGAACTCTTAACATGCTCACATTTGTCCTCATCCATGCCATTGGAGCAGTCTTTCATCCCATCACATCTCCAGGACAGAGGAACACACTGACCACCATCTCCACACTGATACTGGAACTTCCTGCACTTTGCTGGTGGACTGTTACAGTTCTGGATAAAAGTTAGTTGTTAGTGCATTCAAAGCTGTGGTGAAAATGTGAAAGCAGCCCTAAAACTCATCTAAGCATGCTTTAAAATGTTTAACACATGTACACACACACACACACACACACACACCATGACTGCAAGAAAACCTATTTAGTTTGTGATGTCCACTCCAGATGAAAGAACAAAAGTCTGCTGTAAAATTTTAAGTTGAAGCGTGGTTTAAAGCCTCAGCACTTTCTAATGACAAAAATGGCAGGACATTTATTCAAAGTATACCCAGCAAGTCACATTTAGTTACAACTGAGGTACATGACTTGTCAAACACAGACGTCCAAATTCAGGGGCTGCATCCTTTGAAGGACCTGGCCTACGTGGGTTGGGTCTTTTGTCGACCACAAAGATCAGAGGTGACTGAATTTGGACAGTCAAGCCTTCAGCTTTATTCCCACCCCTATCCGAACGCATGTCCTGTCACCAAGTAACTGATGGCGCTAAACTGAAGCAATTAAGATTAAATAGATCAAAATTAGCAAGTTACCAAAAATAAATATTAGTTTAGAGGCAATACATGAACTAGGGGACCTGCCATACGAGCTTGTTTACGATTTGACATTAAAACCTTGTCTATGCAAACGACAAATGCCCAACACCGCTAACATAAAAATTGAAAGTTTAAATTTAAAACTATACTCCTGTCTCACTTTGTCCGTCATTACAAGCAAAATTTAAGAAAAAATAATCTCCGGTCGGCACGAAATGCATCTCTGTGTATAGGGTGGGGTGAGAAGGATATCTCCCTCAAATCGGGGGAAAGGAGGTTGCATTAATGGGCCACATTTGGATAGCCTTCAGCGTGGTGCAGTGACATAAGCAGCCGACAAATTCAGCCTTCGAAGGATGCAGTCCTGAATGAAAGTTAGTTTTTTACTCCATTAAAAATAACTAAAAAAAAAAAAAAAAACTTTGTACTTACAGTACCAGAAACTTTGTTAATCATTGAATCATTATCCAAATGTTACCCAAAATGTGATTTTAAGTTGTTTAAAATTGACCAGTTTTCTTTGGGCTCATGTGAACATTGATTTTACAGTGTTACACAATGATGGCTTTGCTTTACATCTTCACCGTTTTCACATGGTTCAAACTTTAGAAAACAATAAGCCCTCAATAGTTTCATCATGAAATGATCAATTTACTACTTCTCTAAACCACTTAAAGTATGGTTTACATGCTTTAAAAACTTTCATCCCTTCAGATTGTCTTGCACCTTCTCATCTGAGCCATCTTTGCAGTCCTCTTCTCCATCACAGAGCCACTCTTTCTGCAAACATTCGTGGCTGTTTGGGCATCGGAGCTCTTTAGGGCAGCGTGGCGGTCGTGGACAGTACATCTCATCAGAATGATCCCTGCAGTCAGGATATCCGTCGCATTTAAAAGCTTCAGACACACATTGTCCACTTGCACAGCGGAACTGATTACTTGCACAGGCAACTGAACCTGAGGAGAAAAAAAATGAAATAAGCATCGATATTTAGAAAGCTAATGAAGCTCCAAGTCACTAAAGTTGTTGTAATCCACTCACCACAGTTTCCTTCATCTGATCCATCAGCACAGTCTTTTTCTCCGTCACAGAGGAAGGTCGGCGGTACACAGCGTGAGTTGTTGTCACAGAGATGGCAGTCCTCACTTTGTACTGAACAGTCTTTTTCATCAGATCCATCCTGACAGTCGTTCCGCCCGTCACAGACCTGCTCTTGTGGGACGCATTTCTTCCTGTGAGAACACTGGAACTCACCTGGAAAAGTTTAAAAACTAATTACAATCACAACATTTCCCTCTGACTATTCCTTAAAGTCTTCCAAAAACAAACCTGGTTTGCAGTGACTCTCACATCCCTCCTCATCAGATCCATCCTGGCAGTCTGGCTCTCCATCACACACATGGCTGTACATCACACACTCCAGGCCATCTTTACACAGCCTGAAACCTGTGCGGCACTTCAAAGGGCTGGATCTCGAATTGGGTGCATTAATGGCTTTTGCAGAGAGAAAAGAATTTGAAACGATGAAATCCAGAGAGTTTTCCTCAAATGTCCTCTATCCAAAACAGGACAGGGATCTAATCTAAACCGGACTTCAAGCTGAAACCATGTTTGCTGGTGCATTGCTAAAAACATTTGGGTTTGTGGTTATAGGCTGGATACAACTCAAGCTCCAAAATTTAGAGCCAAGAGTTAAGTTTGTTTTTACTTACAAGTGACTGACTGACACTGCTTCTCATCTGAACCATCCGGACAGTGAGCACGGCCGTCACACACGTGTTGTCTTGTGATGCACTTCCTCTGGTCACTGCACAGGAAGTCATCTGATGTGGAAAGAAAAATACATATTTAAAGTCCTGATTTTAAAGATTTAATATAACCCTTTAGATTGGTAAAAGGCAGCCCACCAGTCTGTTCATTGGTAATTTTTCATGCTACATTTTTAGAACAGAATCATGCTAAGATTTAGTATTTGATTAAACCTTGTAAAGTGGCATTATACACAACTTTGTCCAATAGTACAAAATCTTGCAAGGTGTGTTGAAGATTCAGCTGCTACAGCATCAAACTTCAGTTCATTGTAAAATTGTCTTGAGTTAGCCATTATAGTGTTGGCCAAGTCAGCTGTAAATACCTCCAATGATTCCTTTAAGTTTCATCAAAATCTGACTAGTTTAGATATTTTGCTAAAAGCTTTAAGCAGAAAAATCTACCTTTGCCTTCAGGTGTTAACTACAGCTAATTTGGCATCATGGCAACTTCTGAACTTACTTGGGTTTTCACATCGAACCACACAATTCTTCTCATCAAAGCCATCAGGACAGTCCATTTGTCCATCACAAAGTTGATTTTGAGACACACACTTTGATGAAGTTGGGCACAGAACTGAAGGAGTGACGCAAGCTGGTGGGGAGGTGATGAGGGGAAACACTGTTGTAGAAAGACTGAAGTCTGGAAAAAAAAATGTTTAATGCTCAGTGATAGCTATTGGGCTAGTAAAGTTTAAAAAAAAAAATCACTGGAAATTTTTAATGCAGTTTCACATTTGAATAATAGCTTTGGAAGTGTTGGATATTAGGTCATCTAATCTTAAAAATTAAGAACCTACCACAGTCCATTTCATCTGAACCATCCAGGCAGTCTTGTTCTCCATCACAGATGAATTTCTTTGGGATGCAGCGTTGACCATCAGCACAACGATGCTCACAGCTCTTGGTTTGTTCCCAGCAGTCCTTTTCATCAGATTGATCCCGACACTGAGACTTCCCGTCGCACACCTCAGTCTCAGGGATGCACATTTTTCCATGGGCGCACTGAAACTCTCCTAGGAAATTCAAATTGCATTAAAGTTAATATCCAAGGTACTGAAATTTAAGTCAACCTCCGATCAACTAAATGTTTTACAAATACATTTTGTCCAACAGTGCAAAGGTGAGACAACAAAATAAAACAATCCTAACCAACCAACCTTCATTGCAGGTTTCTTGGCATCCCTGTTCATCTGATTCATCCAAACAGTCGATCTCTCCATCACATATGTGGCTGAATAAGACGCACTCTTTGCCATCATTACATGGCCTCGAGCCCATGCGGCACTTCAAGACTTTACGCGGAGCTGGAGAAGCAGAAACGCTCCGACAGTTTGCTTCGTCTGAGCCGTCGTAGCAGTGAGCACGACCATCACAGACCAGACTCCTGGACACGCAGCTCCGACGGTCCTTGCAGAGAAAATCAGCTGTGAAGAGAAAAAAAAATTAAATCAAATGATTAAAAAGACAAATTAAAAATAAATGAAAAACCTTCACTTACTCCTGTCAGCACACTTTTTCACACAGTTCTCATCAGATCCACCAGGGCAGTCTTGTATTCCATCACACACCTGTGACGGGTTGATGCACACTGATGAGTCCGGACACTGAACTGAAGGGAAGCTGCAGGACGGCTGGCTAAGTGAAGGAGATTCACTGGAAGTTGCTGTAGAATCTGTAAGTTTAAAGACAAATGGTAATTTTCCCCATTACAGAATTAAATTGGGTTGATTTCACTTCATTTGAGAATTAGTCCCAGTGGGAGAAGACCCAGGACGTGCTGGATGTTTCTCAGTTAGCCTGGGACACCTTGGAATTCCAGAGGAGCTAGCCAAAATGGCTGGGGAGAGGAACGTCTGGATTTCTGCTTAAGCTGCTGCCCCCACAACCCCATCCCAGATAAGTGAAAAAATGGATGGATAGATGGAGGAGAATTAGTTGAGAAATCTAAAATACACTTTTCTAAGTTGCTACATTTACATATGCAAAGTTTGACTGAATTGAAATGTATTTGGATTAAATAATCTTAATGAATCATCATATGAGCACAAAATTAAGCTGATCACGACAAGTGTTTACATGCAGCAGACTTATTCAGAATAGTACTGACACAGGTATAGTTTTAAAATTTCCCTAAAAAAAACAAACAAAAAAAAAACTAGTTTTACTTCTGTAATGAACATAAATATTCTGTTTTCTGCGCACCCAGAATGGACCTATGCCAGGTTTTAATAATTGAGACGTCTGTGCATTCCCTGATTAAGCTATTTGTGAAACATATGTAGTTTGTCTTCCTTTACCAGATGAGAAAACGGGAGAAAAAACATCCTTGAAAGTTCTGTGCTGCTGGCAACTATAGCACTGTTGCCCCTCCCTCCACTAAAGACCAGAAACCATTGGATTATCAGGTTATAGGGCGCACATATGCAGTCAGGTCAGTTTTCCACAATCAGAACATCAAAATAAGTGTTTAAATGCACAGTTTCAATCATAAAACCACCCCTCTCCATTCAGATTACAAATCCATTCTGATCAAGCTGAATATTCAGACTGGAGATTTTACATGGTGCAATTCTTTTCTATTGGACATTTACTCTGATTACTTAAGTTCATGTAAAGATAGCCAATTCCAGACCTGTTGCAATTATTCACCAAGCATGAAAATGCATGATATACTGGTAAATCAAGCCATATTGTGCTACAAAGGCAGAGAGAAACACATTGCTTACTGGAAATTGACCCAAAACTAATTTCATTGAGTACAAAAGATTTTGCTCTCCTGAAAACATCAAGTTTACAGCAACATTATATTAAAAAAAAGGAACTCACCACATTCTTCTTCATCTGATCCATCCCGACAGTCTCTCTCTCCATCACAGATGTGACTGAACAGAACACATTCTGTCCCGTCGCGGCAGAGAGCGGAGCCCATTCGACATTTCAGGATGTTAGTTGGAGCTGCAGGTAGAGCTACACCTGGACAGTCTGCCTCATCGGAGCCATCATTGCAGTGAGAGCGGCCATCACAAACTAGGTTTCGAGGGACGCAGCTCCGGCGGTCCTTGCAGCGAAAGTCAGCTATGGAAAACAAAAACGTACAGCTAAATCCCTTGCTTGTTCATTACATCAATGGATTTACATAAATTTATTTGGAACACATTTGAACAAATAATTTACAACTTAAATGGTCACCACAGTGTCATGCTACTTACACCGAGATGGACATCTTTTSACACATTTCTCATCAAACCCATCAGGACAGTCTCTCCTTTTATCACACATCTGTGATGGTTTGATACAWATAGAGGAACCAGGACAGAGAATTGAAGGACTGGTGCATGGTGGAGTGGTGGGAGGTGGAGGTACATATTCAGTGGGAGCAGGAGATTCATTTCTGTACTCGTACTCTACAGAAATGCCAGGATCACTCTCAGCATCATCTAGAAATGTGACATAAGATCACAAGAGTAAAAAAATAATCACATTAAGGCTATTTAATCAGCAATCAATTGTATCTTTTTGGTTAAATACCACATCCTTCTTCATCTGATCCATCTGTACAGTCCCTCTCCCCATCACAAATGTGCTTCAAGAGGACACACACAGTCCCATCTCTACACGGTTTGGAGCCAAAGCGACATTTCAGGCCTTGAGCTGGATTTTCAGGAGGAGTTTCTGCCCTAGCGCACTGAAATTCATCTGAACCATCATTGCATTGAGAGCGGCCGTCACAAACTTGGCTTCTGGGGACACAGCTCCGACGGTCTTTACAGCGAAAGTCACCTGCAGATTAAATATTTAGAACCCATTATATAATCATGTACTTTTTTCTCTCTCAATATGATGAAAGCCAACCAACTTACTCCTAGAGGGACACTTTCTCACACATTTCTCATCAAACCCATCAGGACAGTCTCTCCTTTTATCACACATCTGTGATGGRRTGATYCAAATAGAGGAACCAGGACAGAGAACTGAGGGGCTGGTGCATGGAGGAGTGGTGGGAGGCTCAGCGAATCGTTTCAATGATTTCGGTGATTCATTTAGGAAGTCCTTCTCCACAGGATTATTTGCAGCAATGTCTGGAAATGAAAGTTAGAAAAATACATCAACAGTGTATAAAATGTTTTTTCCCTAAAAAGGTGAAGAAGAAATTTTCCAATTTTGGATAAATACCACAGTCTTCTTCATCAGATCCATCCTGACAGTCCCTCTCTCCATCACAAATATGACTCGATAAAACACATGCCGTTCCATCTCGACACAGTTTGGAGCCAAAGCGACACTTCAGGACTTTAGTTGGACTTTCAGGAGGTGCTGCACTCTGACAGTTCATTTCATCTGAGCCATCGTTACATTGAGAGCGACCATCACAAACTAGACTCACTGGAAGACAGCTTCGACGGTCTTTGCAGCGGAAGTCAGCTGGTGGGTAAAAATAAATAAAATAAAATTGGGTCCAGCTTAAAAACACTTGAACGGAGGCAAAGCCTATTTGTCAATATGCTAGTTCACATCTTTATTCAAGTATTACCACAGAATGTTTTATAACAAAAATGATTACTGCATCCTTAAACCACTTACACCGAGATGGACATCTTTTGACACATTTCTCATCAAACCCATCAGGACAGTCTCTCCTTTTATCACACATCTGTGATGGTTTGATACATATAGAGGAACCAGGACAGAGAATTGAAGGACTGGTGCATGGTGGAGTGGTGGGAGGTGGAGGTACATATTCAGTGGGAGCAGGAGATTCATTTCTGTACTCGTACTCTACAGAAATGCCAGGATCACTCTCAGCATCATCTAGAAATGTGACAAAATATCAAGAGTCAAAAAAAGCCTTAACGTGATTTTATCAGCAACAAATTGTAATTTTTTTGTCTGTGGGTACAGGAGATTCAGTCAAGTCCCCATCTTGTACAAAACTACCAAGATCATTACCTGCATCATCTGAAATCAAAAAGAGATCAATAGGTTCCATTTAGAGACATGCAAACAAAAACACCAGTAGCTAGATAAATACCACAGTCTTCTTCATCAGATCCATCCTGACAGTCCATCTCTCCATCACAAAAATGACTTGATACAACACATGCCGTTCCATCTCGACACAGTTGGGAGCCAAAGCGACACTTCAGGACTTTAGTTGGACTTTCAGGAGGTGCTGCGCTCTGACAGTTAATTTCATCTGAGCCA